TCTCTCGGCCCAACCCTCCAACCTGTTGAGGTACCTCTGAATGTCAGCACAGCCCTCTGGGGTATCAGACACTCCTCCGAGCTTTGTGTTGTCAGAAAACTTGCTGAGGGTGCACTTGGTTCCAGTTCCATCATCCAGGTGGTTGATGAATAAGCTGAACAACACTGGACCCAGTACTGACCCCTGGGGGACACCGCTAGCTACAGGCCTCCAACTAGACTCCGTACCACTAAGCATAACCCTCTGAGCTCTGCCATTCAGCCAATTATTAATCCATCTCACCGTCCACTCATCTAGGCTGCAGTTACTGAGCTTGTCTGTGAGGATGTTATGTGAGACAGTGTCAAACGGCTTGCTCAAGTCAAGGTAGACCAGAGCACTGACAACAACTTCCTTCTCCAACTGATACAGAAGCCAATGAGGAGAGGTGCTATGCTATATCTCATTCTCACCAACAAGGAGGAGCTGGTGGGGAATGTGAAACTCAAGGGCAGCCTTAGCTGCAGTGATCATGAAATGGTGTGGTTTTGGAATTAGAGAGTAGTGAGGAGGGAGCAAAGCAAGATCACTACCCTGGACTTTGGGAGAGTAGACTTTGCCCTCTTCAAGGATCTGCTTGGTAGGGTCCTCTGGGAGTGATTAAATGATTGGAGTTTGTGATTCTAATTGTTTTTCTTAATTATTATTTCTTAATTATTATTTCTTAATTATTATAGGGGTGTATATATACAGAAACAATGTATTTTAAGTTTATCTTAGTAATACCTGTTCTCAAAGGATTAGTGATAGGATGGAGGGAAAAATCGGCATTTCCAATTAATCCAGAACATCTCTTGAGTTCTGTCTCGAAATAATTGTTAGATTTGCACCCAGATGCCTAGAAACACTGAAAAGGCCTTGTCCCTGATTGCTATTTCCAGCAGCAACTGTGTTTGGATTCCCTAGATTTCTAAAAATGATAGATCATACTCAGTCCCAGGAAGGAACTGATTTTAAAGTTGAGCTCCATACACATAATCCTGGCTACAATATAAAGTGCTATCAAAGGTGCCTTTAAACAACATTGATAGAAACTCAGGGGACAATAGTATTGACCCTGGGTGTGGAAATACTATCCATGAAGTAGGTAATAATCCATACTGTACCGAATATGGTAGCCACGGGAATGCTAATATACATAATACACAACAGATACAACATGAGAATCCTGTAACCGGATGGCCTATCCCGAATGGAAAGGGGTGGTACTGGCTATGTGACCATAAAGCCCCTAGGATGGAAGGGAGCTTGCACCCTGGGGACAATAATTCCAAATGTAATTATTATTGAAGACCCACAAAGCCAAAGCACCCCTGAGACCACACGCAGAATTAAGTGGACTCCAGATAATCCTCTAGTAAAATCCTCTAGCATTTCACAATTTTGCAAGGTGTTTTTTACCTTGGTTAGGGGTGAATTAGAAAAAGCTATTGTAAATATCTGAGCTATAATGAAGAAGTAGAAAATAACACTCTGGATGTAAGAAAAAGGAGATAACAAGTTTGCAACAATAGTACTTCAGAATCAAATGGTATTAGATTTAATACTAGCCTCACAAGGAGGAGCGTGCACTGTAATTAATGCTAGTTGCTATATATATGTACATCAAATGGGACAAATTTGACTAATCTCAAAACTATTTGGAAAAAAAACAAACAACCAAACCAAACCAAAACAAAACAAAAAAACAAGATCCTACATAAAGTGGCTCAAGATGACACTTCCTGAGGATTTAGAAACATTTGGGAAACTAACTTCGTGGTTACCTGAATGAAATTGGCTCAAACAACTATTTTTTGATAACATAATAATGGCATTGTATATCTGTCATCCCCTGTGACATCCGAAGAAGAATATTGTGCCTTAATGTTGGAAAAACTCAAGAGTGGGGTATGTGAAGAAGTACAAAAACAACAATAGCAGTAAGAAAAGAAGAGGGGGGAATTGTGAGAAACTAAGTTGTGTTTTTGCAGTAGAACATGTTTTCGAAGTAGAGTGTGTTTTTGCAGTAGAAAACTAACATTCTGTGTTCAAAGGTAGTTGTGTAGTCATAACAAAGAGAAATGCTAAGTAGATAAGTGGACAGTAGAAGGCCTCACTGTTCCAAAATAAGGTAGAAGACAGAAAAACAGGATGAGCAGTGTGAGAACAGTAAAAAAAACAAAGATCACAAGTTCCCTAAACATAAGAAAAGAGGAAAGAAAAGGAAAAAGGAAAAATTACAGGGTTGATCAAAAAAAAATTTGTACATGTATGGTATAAAGAAGCATCGAGCAGCTTGTGAACCTGTAGTACTCAGCCAATGAGGAAATAGGGGAGGTGATCGGGTGTCGGGTAATAGGGAATAAAAGGTTATGATTTATTTACTAAAATGCACTCCTAATTGGCAGGACGCCCACCATTGCAATTGCGAATAAAATAGCTTCACAGAAGATCCTGTCTGAAGAAAATTATTGAGATTTTTATCACAGATTATACTTCTTTTAGGAAAGTTTGTTAAATGTCTTTCCACAATGTGTAGATGTGATAGAAAAAGAAGCTTATTAGACACAGTGTATGCAACGGACAGAGAAATTGTCTACCACCAGTGACATATTTTGTTGTAAATTTTCCAAAGAACAATTAACTATACAATAAAATATGGGACCAGCGCTGTTTAACATCTTGGTTGTTGACATGGACAGTAAAAAGGAGCACACCCTCAGCAAGTTTGCCGATGACACCAAACTTTGTGGTGCAGTCAACATGCTGGAGGGAAGGGATGCCATCCACATGGACCTTGACAGGCTTGAGAGGTAGGCCTGTGCAAACCTCATAAATTTCAACAAGGCCAAGTGCAAGGTCATGAACCTGTGTTAGGGTAATCTCAAACACAAATACAGGCTTCGTGGAGAATGGATTGAAAGTAGCCCTGAGGAGAAGAACATGTGGGTGTTGGTTGATGAGAGACTCAACACGAGCCAGCAATATGTGCTTGCAGCCCAGAAAGCCAACTGTATCCTGGGCTGCCTCAAAAGAAGTGTGGCCAGCAGGTTGAGGGAGGTTGATTCTCTCCCTCTACTCTGCTCTTGTGAGGCCCCACCTGGAGTATTGTGTTCAGCTCTGGAGCTCCCAACACAAGAAGGACATGGATGTGGTAGAACGAGTCCAGAGGAGGGCCACAAAGATGATCAAAGGGCTGGAGCACCTCTCTTTTGAAGACAGGCTGAGGGAGTTGGGGTTGTTCAGCCTGAAGAAGAGAAGGCTCTGGGGAGACCTTATGGCAACTTTCCAATACATAAGAGGGCCTACAAGAAAGCTGGGGAAGGACTCTTTATCAGGGAGCATAGTAGTAGGACAAAGAATAATGGCCTTAAACTAAAAGAGGATAGATTTAGATTAGATATTCTGAAGAAATTCTTTACTGTGAGGGTGATGAGGCACTGGAACAGGTTGCCCAGAGAAGTTGTGGATGCCCCACCCCTGTCAGTGTTTAAGGCCAGGTTGGATGGGGCTTTGAGCAACCTGGTCTAGTGGAAGGTGTCCCTGCCCATGGCAGGGTGGTTGGACTAGATGATCTTTAAGGTCCCTTCCAACCCAAACCATTCTATGATTCTGTGATATTAATGGTATTACAGTAACGGCCACGCAGATAATGACGAATGAATTTTGATAGAATAGGACAAGTACAGCAGGGATGGAATCAGAACTGGCTTCAGCATGCAACAATCCAACACCACAAACCATCTCTTCCTCCCTGAAAGATTGTTGTGACAGATGGAGTCTGAAGTCAGTCACAGACTAAACAAACTCAGTGGACATTTTATATACATATATGAAAAGTGGTGATTAATTGGAATGTATTAGAAAGTGTGGGACCTGAGCATGACATAAATGGTATGGAATAAGGGTTGGATATTACCCTGGTTTTGTCTAGGATAGAGTTAATTTTCCCCCTAGTATCTGGTAGGGTGCTATGTTTTCGATTTAGGATGAGAATAATGCTGATAACACACTGATGTTTTAGTTACTGCAGAGCAGTGCTTATACTAAGCCAAGGACTTTTCAGCTTCTCGTGCTGTCCTGCCAGTGAGGAGGCTGTGGGTGCACAAGTTGCTGTGAGGGGACAGAACCAGGATAGCTGACCCAAACTGGCCAAAGGGATACTCTATACCTTATGATGTCATGCTGAACAATTAATACGGGGTGTCTGGCCAGGGTGGAGGTGGACCGCTGCTTGGGGATGGGATGGGCATCGGTCAGCGGGTGGTGAGCAATTGCAGTGTGCATCACTTGCTTTTTACATATTATTATTATTACTATCATCATTATTATTATTACTCTTTCTTTTCTGTCCTATTAAACTGTCATTTATCTCAACCCATAAGTTCTTACATTTTTTCCCCCACATCAATTGTCTCCCCTGTCCCACTGTGTGTGTGTGAGCAAACAGGTGTGTGGTGCTTGGCTACCTTCCAGGGTAAACCACAACACCATGATTTGTTCTTTGCTTAGCACCATTCAGAGGCAGTGAACATATGCAGCATTATTAAGAAATTATTAAGACAATTTAAAAATTCCTTTGCACAATCCAGTACATTTCCTCCCCCAAATCAGTGTATAACTGTGCACTTAAATGGCATGTTCAGTTACTTAGACTACACACATTTGGCCAGAGTTTCTTTTTTTCTTTTTTTTTTTTTTTAATTTTCTTTGGACATCCACACCTAATCTCTAATCTGACTGATATTTGGCCTTAAGATCCAAGATCTAAACAAACGACCAAATTAAGTGTTTTTATTGACAGCCACAGTTCTGCTGAATTAAGGTCTGCAACCTTTTTCCATTCCTCTTTCCATGCGATATTTCAGAAAAAATACTTTGATTTTTGCCTTTGAAACAAATGTCCTAATTAATGCAGTGTTCATATAGTGCTGTTTCAGTAGTTACTTGAACAGAGAATAAAAAAGATGATAAAATGAGGTAAGGTTTAGCCCTTTATTGAAGATAAACCTGGAGTTAGAGCCTAACTAGTAGAAAAATGAACAGAAATCATAAATCTTCCACAAACGACAACTGAAAAGACACATCCTAAAATATCCATCTATAATTGAGGAGTTATTTGTTCTTGCAGGGTTTTCTTTAAAGAAGTTATCTTGGGAATTCCACTTATAGTATTAAATGATACTTATTTGTGTTACATCTTTTTTAGCCCTTTATTTATTTTATTTGAAAATGTATTTTCAAAGAGACCTTATAACAGTATTTCTGCATTATCAGTTCATTTTGTTCTCTTTTTTCTTGGATATATTAGCCAGGAAAAGAATTTCCCAGTCTGTAACAGACATTAATTCACACGTTTTAGTTTGTTCACATGGAAAGATACAATTTCTAGATCATTGAGGCATATGGACTATGAACAAGACAATTCAAAAACGAACTATCTAGATGGGAATATACTTACAAAAATCTTTAATGTCAAAGTCAGAATTTCACAACATAACATGCTAACGTAAAATCCAGTAGCACCTGAGAGATTAAGGTAGCAGCTGCTATCACTTGCACGTACTTGAAAAAAATTAAAAAAAAAAAAAATACTTTCTCCAGAGATCAGCAAGTGTGTTTCAAAATAAAAGTCCTATTTTTTATTTTTCTTCTGGTTTTGTTAGGTATTTCTGTTAGTTGTTTTTTTTTTTGTAATCATTTTTTTAATTTATTTTTATTTTTTTAGACAAGACTGTTGTTGCCATATAACAAGTTATATGCAATGCGACTGCTTACCTCTCTCCAGTGTAAGTTCATGTTCATGTTTTCAAGTTATAGCACTCAACAGAATTTTATGGTATACATAAAATAGTTTCTCATAATTTCATCAAAGATAGATACAATGCATAATACCTGTCTCTGGGAAAAGTGTGTTTCAAACAGGCAAACTATCACCTTAAAACAGAAGTGGAGAGGCTACAGTAGGTATAACCACCCAAGTATGAACTTTAGGTTGTAGTTTTTAAACACACATTTACTGCAAATAAGCATTAAAAATATTCTTAGCAATAGGATTTTATTTATATGTGTATGTATGTCCCCCTTATTCCATATTTATGTTAGGCAACTGTATGGGAGTTCAAAGGTGCAGCCCTCAGTAATTGTATTAAAAAAAAAAAAAAAAAAGTAATGAAGCATATCTACTGCATGAGAAAAGAAATTCTCAAATATCAATTTCCAGTTTAAAATTTAATTTAAATAGGAAAATATTAAAATTGTGCACATCTAATTATTCCATATTCTGTATATACGTGTGTACACGTATACATAGAAATACTCATCTACCACACATTCACAAAATTTAAGTGGAAATATTTCTGTCCACTATTTCCCCACATGTGAATGACATAATATCTTTTAAAATGTCAATAATAATATAATTAAAAATAATATTACATTTATTCCATTATCAACTTTCTATTGTTTGTATTCTTTCTTCATCCTTATTCTGTCCATTGAGCATAATGGGCCAGATTCTCCTTGTACTTCCACAAATGAATGTTGCTGATCCCATCAGGGACACATACGGTTTGAAGCAGTGCAAGTGACAGGAGAATCAGGCCCAAATATCCACAGGTAAATTAAAACATGGTGATATTTGCTTATCTGGACCTCATGTAGATATACACATTACTGTTTAAAAGCCACTGAATGAAAAACATATAGCTCACCACAAAGTTTTCACCCAGTAGCATGCTGAACCAAGGTCCCCCCACCCCTTTAATAAATAAAATATATGAGAAAATACCCTAAAATATGGAGAAAACCTAAACATTGTGTACATTAAATACAGTATAATACATGATGTTTTAGCATTTGACCTGAACCACTTTCCTGATTAGTCAGGAGACACTTGGTAAATCACTGGTAAAGAAAAAACACAGTATTTTGGAAATAAATAATGTATTTCTGATATAAATGAAAACCCATGTATATTATATGATGTATATATATACAGTACCCACATAAAAACAAACTTTTCTAGTTCTATATAACATTCTCTAAGATGACAAAATTGTGTTGTACAAATTTAATAAGCAGCTAGATTTCATGTTTAAAAATCAAATTTGGGGAACAAACAAAGGTCAGTGCATCTTTTGGCTCTGAACTCTGACATTCATCCATACATTTTTAAAAAGCCCTCTTCAACATTACAAGCAATTTATGGCAAGAACGTACTTTGTTGCAAGACACATGACACTTGGCTTACCTTTCAGAGCTTTCTGTGTTGTTTCCTTTTTTAATAAATCTATTATATAAAGAAAGGTGTTTTTGCCCAAAGTGTTAAAATTACATGAAAACATCTTTAAAACCTGTTCACTGAATATAATTTAATTCCATTTCCTGTTTTTAAACATTTAGTTAACAATTCAGAATATTGCCTGGTGTAGTAACAATAAAGATGTGATATGAAGATTCATAAAAGAGTAAATGTCTCCATTTCAAATTGCTATGACAACAAAACTTCTAGAAACAGCTTTCTTGGCTGGGTTCAATGTATGAGCAATCCCTTTCAATAGCTCTAAGCCCTTAATGCAGTCTATAATAAAGTGTTCCCCATAAGCCATTAGTCACAATACCAGAAATTCATGTGGCATTCTGAAAAAGTCTCCTGCAGAACAGGTTAACAGTTAATTGAACATATATATTTGATATATGTACTGGCCATTTCTTGTTATTTGTGCATGTCAAATTCTCTCTCTCTTTTTTTTTTTTTTTTTTTCCTGAGGGACTCACCTGATATCATTGGTTGGTTTCAAAACATATTTAAGTGGAAATATTGCATTGTAATTACATAGAATTCATATGAAAAAGTAAAACTTACATTGGTCAGTATTGTAGAACATCAGAGTAAGCTCCATAAAGAAATACAGTATAATACAGTATTTCCAGTATATATATAAAACAACCAACCAACCAAAAACCCCAAAAGGAAGAACTTTATTTCAATTAAAGATGCAACTGTCACACCTGGGAAGAATAAATTAGTAATGGCACTGCTTCTCCACAGTGTAAAATATCCTGAGAAATTAAGAACAACAAAATACAGGGCCATCAGCACTAAGTTGTTGAACAAATTAAATATCTTGAATAAATAAAACAGCAGATAACCTATATTGTGTCTATTACAAAAAGAGGATGTAACTTGGGCCACTACTACTTCCATCACTGATAATTAGAAAAGGATTGCATTCAATTACTGTTAATATCTTTCAAGTTATCTATGTCCAATAATGTACAAGGAGGTAATTTGTAATTCAAGTTGTTTTTGGTTTTTTTGTGTGTGTTTTTTTCTTCAGCTAGCTTCAAGATGAGTTCTAAATTTTACATTGAAGTATGACTCAAATTTAAAATAAGCCCTCTCAGGAAAGCATTTTCAAAGTTGCACAAAATTAGATGCAGAGCTCAAGACAGTCCTACAAAGAGAGATAGTGCATCTTTAAGCTGATTGGCACTGAAATCCCATTTTCTTTAGCTGCATTCTATTAGCTTGGCCAAGTTATCTCGTAACTCGGTCAGTTCAAATATTTTTCCATCAAGATTTTCTAAAAGTGTCTTCAAGTTATTGTGAAAAGCTTCTTGCTCATTCTGACTTTTCTCCAGACGTTGCTCTAGATCAGAGAGCTGGCCTTCCAGGTCTTTGTTTCGAATTTCTACTTCCTTCAGAGAAAATACATAACATGTTAACGTGCAGTCTAGAAACAGAAAGTAGTCTAAAATCCTGCTGATGTTCATGTACTAGTTCTGTTTTTTAAACAATTTGTGACTCTTTAAGGTTTCCACAAAGCCAAAACCAGAACCCAAATTGTTATTAGGATTGAACGTGTACTATTGTTTCCTCAATTTTTTTCAGTAATTTATATGAAGGACAAAATCCTTGATACAGGGATAAAATTTAGTCAGTGAACAATGCATTTGATATACTTACTCAGGTAAATTATTACTTATGCGGTGGCGGGCCATTTAAATCAGGTGTAGCCACCATTATACAGTCACTCGCCCAGGCAATTGGTGATCCCACGCTCTTCGAGGAATTGCAGCGTGCATGGGGTTTCCTGCTTCGAGGCCACTTGAGGCAGAAGAGGAAGCAGCCAGGACCCGGCAGCCCTCACGAGGGCAACTGATGAGACTTGAATGGAGCCAGAAGTGCCCCCCTCTGTTGTACAAAGGCAGCCCCTGGGGAGCGCAAGAAACCAGGAACACAGGGACCAGGAGGTGGCGGGTCAGTTTGTACAGGTAGGGCGGGTGGAGTATCCCTCTCCACTCAGGAAACAGGCTGACCTATTGGCTGCCTCCCAGATGGTAAATCCAGACGTGGTGTCCTCCAGACAGAAAGCTCTCGCCAAAAAGACTCTGGCAACTGAGACTAACTGCCTTTCCAGTGATGCGGCTCTTCAGGTCTCCAGTTGTAGGGAGTGCCTGAGCCTGTTGCTACCAATGGAGGGTGGCAAAGATACTACCTGCATGAGGTGTGAGCAGGTGGAGGATCTGATCAGCCTGGTGGCAGAGCTCAAGGAGGAGGTGGGGAGACTGAGGACCAACAGGAAGAGTAAGCAGGATTTAGACTGGTGGAATAACTCCCTGACATACCTGAGAGAAAGGCATGGGGGTGATACACCCTAAATAGTTGTGGACCCCCTTCCCTGTCATTGACGGGCAGAGGGAGGGGACCTAAGAGATGGAGAGGAATGGAAACAGGTCCCTGCTTGGCATTTCAGGCGAGCCCCCTCTGTACCCACCTTGCCTTCCCAGGTGCCCTTACACAATAGCTTTGTGGCTCTGGAGCTTGAGGGATGGGTAGGTGAGGATATGGGGGAAGGTCCACCCAGGAGGTTGTCTAGGGCAAGGAAGTCGACTCCACGCCTCAAGACTTTCTCCATCAAGAAGGAAAGAAGGGTAATTGTTGTAGGTGACTCCTTTCTGAGGGGAACAGAGAACCCCATCTGTTGGCCAGACCCTACCCATAGGGAAGTCTGCTGCCTCCCTGTGGCCCAGGTCAGAGAAGTTAGCAGGAAACTTCCTGGCATGGTTTGCCCCTCCAAATATTATCCCTTAGTGATAATTCAGGCTGGCAACAAAGAAATTGCTGAAAGAAGCCTGAAGGCTATCAAAAGGAACTTCAGGGGATTGGGGCAGTTAGTGGATGGAGTGGGAGCACAAGTGGTATTTTCCTCTATCTCTTCAGTGGCAAAGAGGGATAGTGAGGGGACCTGGAAAGCACAGCTGATCAATACATGGCTGAGAGGCTGGTGCCACTGCAGGAATTTTGTGTTGTTTTTTTTTTTTTGACCATGGGGTGGTTTACTTGGTACCTGGCCTGTACGCTGCAGATGGGTCCCACATGTCTCAAAGGGGGAAAGGGATACTAGGCCAGGAGCTGGCAGGGCTCATTGAGAGGGCTTTAAACTAGGTGTGAAGGGGGATGGGGATGAAATGAGGCTCACTAGAGATGAGCCTGGAGGAGCAGTCCCAGGGTTGGGGGTGAGGGCAATGGCGCAACTGAAGTGCATCTACACTAATGCATGCAGCATGGGCAACAAACAGGAGGAGCTGGAAGCCATTGTGTGGCCAGGAAACTACAACTTAGTTTCCATCACTGAAATGTGGTGGGACCATTCCTGCGACTGGAGTGCTGCAATGGATGGATATAAGCTCTTCAGAAGGGACGGGCAACAAAGGGGAGGTGGCATGGCTCTCTATATTAGAGAGTGTTTTGACGTTGTAGAGCTCAGGGCTGGGAATTATAAGATTAAGTCCCTATGGGTAAGGATCAGGGGGATGGCCACCAAGGTGGACATCCTGGTGGGGGTCTGTTATAGACCGCCAAACCAGGATGAAGAGAAGGAAACCAGGATGAAGAGGTGTTCTACAAGCAGCTGGTGGAAGTCGCTCAGTCAGCAGCGCTTGTTTTCGTGGGGGACTTTAACTTCCCAGGCATATGCTGGAAATACAACACAGCCCTGAGGAAGCAGTCCTGGAGGAGGTTCCCGGAGTGTGTGGAAAATAGCTTCCTGAATTAGCTGGTTAGTGAGACTACTCGGAGGGGGGGTGTTCCACTAGACCTGCTGTTCACAATTGGAGAAGGACTGGTGAGAGACGTGATGGTCAGAAGCTGTCTTGGGCACAGACAGTGACCACAAAATGGTAGAATTCTCTATTCTTAGCGAAGTCAGTAGGGGAGTCAGTATAACAGCTACCTTGGAGTTCCGGAGGGCAGACTTTGAATTGTTCAGGACACCGGTAGGGAAGGTCCCTCAGGAGTCAGTCTTGAAAGGCAGAGGGGTCCAGGAAGTCTGGATGCTCCTCCAGATGGAAGTCTTAAAGGTGCAGGAGCGGGCTGTCTCCGTGTACCGTAAGATGAGCTGGCAGGGAAGAAGACTGCTGTGGCTGAACAGCGAACTTTTGCTGAGTCTCCGGGAGGAAAAGAGAGTTTATGTCCAGTGGAAGAGGGGACATGCAACTCAGGGGGAATACAAAGAAGTTGAGAGCATATGCAGAGAAAAAGTCAGGAAGGTCAAAGCCCAGCATGAGCTCAACCTGGCCACTATGGTTAAGGGTAATGAAAAATGCTTTTATAAATATATTAATGGCAAGAGGAGAGCCACGGTGAATCTCCATCCTTTACTGGGCACAAGAGGGAGCATGACTACTGAGGATAAGGAAAAGGCTGAGGTTCTCAATGCCTTCTGTACATATGTCTTTACTAGTCAGACCAGTTATCCTTGGGGTACTCAGCCTCCTGACCTGGAAGTCTGGGACGGGGAGCAGAAGAAACCCCCCACGATTCAAGTGGAAACAGAGACCTGCTGCTCCACCTATACTGTCACAAGTCCATGGGGCCAGATGGGATCCACCATGGTGCTGAATCAGTTGGCGGATGTGATTGTTGGACCGCTTTCCATCATCTATCAGCGGTCATGGACATCTGGAGAGGTTCCAGATGACTGGAGACTTGCTGATGTGACACGCATCTATAAGAAGGGTTGTAAGGAGGATCCGGGGAACTACAGGTCTGTCAGCCTGGCCTCGGTTCCAGGAAAGGTTATGGACCGGGTCATGTTGAGTGCAATCACGCAGCATATGCGGGACAACCAGGGGATCAGGCCCAGCCAGCATGGCTTCATGAAAGGCAAGTCCTTCCTGACCAACCTCATCTCCTTCTATGATTGGGTGACCCACCTGGTGGATGAGGGAAAGGCTGTTGATATAGTCTACCTAGACTTCATCAAAGCCTTTGGCATGGTCTCCCATGGTATTCTCCTGGAAAAAGTGGAAGCCATGGCTTGGACAGGTACACTCTTTGCTGTGTTAAAAGCTGGCTGAACGTCTGGGTCCAGAGAGTAGTGTTCAGCATTATAGGACCTGGTGGTCACCAGGGCAAAAGTGCTCATTAAATAGGTTAAGATTTGAGGAAGCCTGGGTTTCAGTGACCATACCCTGGTTGAGTTTTTGATCTTGAGGAACATGGGCCTGGCCAGGAGCAAATTCAGGACCCTAAACTTCCAAAGAGCGAACTTCAAGCAGTTCAAAGAATTAGTGGATGAGATACCATGCGACATTGTACTTAGAGACAGAGGAGCTGATAAGGGCTGGAAACTCTCAGGCAGCTCTCAGGCAACTGGATATTTTCCTTAGAGCACAAGAGCTCTCCACTCCTATACACAATAAATCAAGCAGGGAAGGCAGGAAACTGGCATGTGTGAAATGTGTTCATCTGATTCGTGTCTATATGGAACAATGCTAGGGACGCATGGTATGATGAATGTGACCTTCTGTCTTACATACCCTTGTATAACCACAAGTCTAAGAAAAACAGAGTGGTTAATGTATATAATTTGTGTATCTTGCAAAGGAATAGTCCAGCAATTTGTGTCAATAGGGGATAAGAGAACAAAGGGGTTTCAGAATAACTGCTAACTATTATGACTATTGCAGGGGACACTATGCAAGTTTCTGATATCTGGCCAAGAGTTTAAGGAGAAGGGGAAAGCTGAAGGACGACTAAAAGACAAAGCTTGCAGGGGACGCTGCACAAGTCTCTGACATCCGGCCAAGTTGGACAAAGGAGAAGGACAAGAAAAAAAGCCTGGGAGGAAGACTATGGGCCTTCAGCACGAGAGACCCCCAGAGGGACCACCGGAGACTGATACGCATGCGCCAGTGGGAGGGTTCGGATTCCGGAAACTAATTATAATAACTCAGAGACTCCCGGTGCACCCAGCACTGTTTGCTTATATTCATTTAATAAATTGTAAACTTTGATTATAACCCTATTTGGGACTTAGCCAAAGGATGAACAAGGATCTTCTGGTCAAACTTAGGCAAAAGAAGGAAATGCACAGACGGTGGAAACAGAGACATGTGACCTGGGAATGGAGCGAAATCCAGCTGCGACTGGTCACAAGTGGTGTTCTCCAGGGGTCAGTGTTGTGGCCCATACTCTTTAGTATCATTATTGATGATTTGGACCAGGGAATTGAGTGCATCCTCAGTGAATCTGCAGATGACACCAAGTTGGGGAGAAGTGTCGATATGCCAGAGGAGGGTAGGAAGGCCCTGCAGAGGGACCTGGACAGGCTGGATTGATAGGCAAGGGCCAATGGGATGAGGTTCAACATGGATAAGTTCTGGGTCCCGCACTTTGGTCACAACAATCCCAT